TCAAATTACTCTAGTGAAATGGCATCTCAGTCTGTCTCTCTCTCTCTTTCACATACATAAACACACACAAACTACATTCCTTGTGGAGAGTGGACATGAAGTCTCACAGCCAGTCTGGTGATGGCACTAAAGACCTGGACCAAGAACTGAAGCTGCTTCTGGGAGTTCTTCCTCTTAGGCTAGATTTGCTCCTCAGTGAAGATAGCAAATCCTCAAGAAACCTGAAAGGCCAGGAAACTGTGGAGCAAGAGAGGGCCTCGAACACAAGAGATGACCGCTTGAAACATGAACTGGGGAAAGGCCAAGCCCTCTCAAACATCCCGCCCAAACCCACTGGTACAATTCACTGGCCATTCCTATTACAAACACCAAGGATCCAGTGGAGAAAAGAGATGGACTCTCAGCCACAGCACCTCAGGAATCTTAACAATGTTACGACTCAGACAAGACTCAGTGTCAAGTTCACATTCAAGACTAAAGGACCAAAAGGTAACAAGAACACTCTCCAAGTTATATCCTTTTCTTGCTGGCTCCACAAAGCACCCAGGCTCCAAAGGAGAGTCCTTGGGCCATACTGAATCATGGCAGATGGGTTCTATGACCAAGCAGAAGGGAATGGGCTGGTGGAACTCGGATGGAAGCCTGCAAGCCTGAGGATGAAAGGGAAAGCAACACCCACTGCAGAATTTCCACCACTCAGCTGTATAAACAAATAAAACGGTCCATTTCTTCTGGATCCTCTCCTAGTTGTCTTTGCGCACGCACACAGACACACACACACACACAAACCACTTCACATCCGAAAAGAAAAACAACCAAGAAAGGTCTACACAGTTTGTTTTTGCTGCGTGTGGAGTTTTTTTTTCCTAAATCACATCTGACTTGGTGTTAAAACATCAACCTTTGGCCAAAATACTCTTAAAACAAAGGCTTAATTGGTTCTGAATTCGCCCTTTTGAAAAACAAGGGAAATGTCTTCTGTGGGTCCTGACCTTGATCCTAGCACTGCTCGCAGGGTTGGAAGGAGTGTGGGAAGAGCTCTTTTTGGGGAGGCAGAGGAGATAGTGCCTAAACGGTCATCCATGTCAACTGCAGGGTACGCCTGGGAGGCACTGCAAAGGCGGACCCCTGGGTCCACCTCTGCGCTCAGCCTGCACCATCTCTTCTGGGTTAAGAGAGACAGAGGGAGGAGTTCCCCGGAGCTGGGGCCCCTGGAGCTTGGGCAAACTGGCCTCTGACCCCACTTAGATCTTTTTACTGCTCCCCTTCCTATGTATCACGCACATCCAACCACCACTATGCTGGTGCATTTCAAACAGCATCACTTGAAATCCAGAGTTCAAGTCTCTCTTAAAAGGGCAATGCAAGCGAAGCACATATTACTCTCCCAGTCTACTACTGAGTCTGAACAACAGAACCCAACACATACAGTCCTCCGAAAGATGCAGGTGAGAAAATAACTAGGGCCTTATATTCATAACAGCAGGACACAGGAATAAATATCCATTAGGAACCCAAATATCCTAAAGCACAGAAAAGACACGTGCATCATGGAATAGTAAGTGACAATAAAAATTTTTAAAAAAAAGCAAACTATTCTACAGGAAATAACAGGGATGAAACACACATATAACGCTGAGTGGAGCCTGACATAAGACTGTATTCTACACAATCTCACTTCTAAGACGCTAAAAAGCAGGCAAAACTAATCCATGGTGATAGATGAAACTAATCCATAGCAAGAAGTTTTGTCAGCAGTCGNGGGGGGGGCAGGGAGGACTGAATAAGCAAGACTGCAGGGGAGTTACTAATACTCTTTTGCAGGGCCCAGCAAACTACAGCCTATGGGTCAAGTCCAGCCACTGTTCTCATAAATAAAGTTTTATTGAGGCCCGGCTACATCTACACCATATCCTTTAGGTATTGTTTTTGGCTGCTTTCACACACAATAGTTGAGTTGAGACGCTGCCACAGAGATTGTTTGGCCTACAAAGCCTAAAATATTTACTGTCTGGCCCTTTATGGAAAAAGCATTTCACCCCATTCTACCTGTTGAGTTGGGGGATGGTTTCATGGATGATCACAGAAGTAAAAGTAAGAAGTTCATCCACCTCTCCACTAAAAACCTGTGCCCTGGGCTGTACTTATATTATACTTCAATAAAACTCTCTACAAGTCCATAGAATTAAATATCTATGTCTTTTCTCTTTTTGAAGGCCTTTGAATTTGTATTTCAATTATATTTGTGTTAACCATTTAGGATGAATACGGCTTCTGTGCTGCTCTTGTCTTTTCAAAACTGATAGGAGCTAGGAGATTCTCAAGGTTGGGGAAGTTTCCAACATGTCAACTGATATTGTGTCCAAATCTCTTAGAAGAACATGACGCTTTTACAGAATTACTCAGTAGTAGTTGTTCGGTCACTAAGTCATGTCTGACTCTTTGGGACCCCACGGACTGCGGCATGCCGGGCTCTTCTGTCCTCCACTATCTCCTGGAGTTTGCTCAAATTCATGTCCATTGCACGGAATCACTCAGAAGCCATTCATATAAACGCTGCACTTGGCCAAGTCCTGAGATCACAGGAGGGACGGGAAGGGAAAGGAGTGGGAATCTCATGTGATACATGGTGTCATACTACTCGAGGTTATTTTAGGGTATAGCTTAGGAGAGCAACCAGCTCAGCTCAGATTGAAATATAGCATGTATTAAGGCTAAACAGTCTTAAATTTCCAGGGAAGAAAATTCTGCCTTGACAAGCACATCGCATCCAAGCTTTAAGTAGAGAATGGGGGACTGGGAAGACATCCGCTCCACTCTGCACCAAAGGAGGGCCACCCTCTTGTCCCACCTCGACATGGCTACTTGGGTGCTCCCTTCGGCAGCACATATACTAAAATTGGAACAATATAGAGAAGATTAGCATGGCCCCTGCGCAAGGACATGGCTACTTGGCTGCCATGTGCCTGGGGGACAAGTTTATCGTGTCTGAGGTTTCCTCTTTCTTTCCCTTTGCTTCTTTTGTTTTGGTTTGCTATTTATCCTTTGATGATCAAACTACAATCACAGCTAGATGCCTCTTGGCTTCCCCTTGTCCTGGTCTAGCAGAGATTGGGGGAGAATGAATACTCAAAGGCATGGCAGTGCTGGGTCTCTCATAGAATGTGTCTCTGTTTGCCCACATGGGCATCAGGCCTCGGCAAACAGAAGCAGGGGAAGAACAATACTACCTGTTCATGGAGGAATAGTAATGGTTTCAGTCCTTCAAACAATGAGCTCTGTAATTTACTCCATCTTCCTCCTGAGAACGCGCTTCACATGGCCCACACCGTGCCAGGTGGTTCGGAGAAAGATGAACTGCCCGGGCTAACAAGGGACGCTTCAGCAACGGGTGTAAAGACACAACAGCTGCTCTGGTCTCGGCTGGTCTCCCAGTGACATGGCCCCAGCCAGCCTTTCCACACCAAGATAAGGGTCATGATGCCATTCACCCTCGACAATTCCCACACCCCGGGCAGCAGGACTTCCCAGCACTCCACTGAGATGTCTGAGATGTCGTGGGCCTCAGGACACTGTTCCTCATCCATTTACCAAGGGTTAGAGCTTGGGTTTGTTCTCCATCCAAGCCCTGAGCCTGTACCCTTTTCCGGGAGCAAAATTCACTGTGCTGTTCATCAAAAGGAAGAAGGGTCCCCCCAGGGAGAGGACCAGCAAGAACAGCAGCCTTGGAGACCTCTAGGGGTGGAGGGACACTGTCAAACAGCTGCACTTTCCCCTAAAATCACACATGGATCAGCATAACTGCAGCACAACTGCAGAAGGAACCAAATATTTTTAAAATATGTTACCGTTACCTTGAAACAAGTACAAAATATTAGGGCCCTAACCAAATAACCATGTCTGCCGAGTCCTACTTTTCACTGCGGAATAATTAACAATTGACCTGGGGCAAAGGGCTACTGGAAAGTCTTCTCCAGGCAGTTATAGATTTGAAACGGCACAGTGACAAAGATGCAATGTGGCTGTGGACCACATAGGCACACACAAGTTATCCATCTTCACACGCAAGGGAAGAATGGAAATCCTACCACCGAGCAACACCAACTTCCAAGGAGAGAAGACCCCAGAGCCAGACTTGAACAATTCAACAACGAGCTTTGAATGCCTCCCCTCGAAGGGTTAACCCAGAAGCAGAAGGACTCAAGAAGTTTCGGCACCATCAGTTACACCATGGGGTCCATCCATCCTGGCCAGGGCCAGGCAGACAGATGAAAATCGTATTAGTCTGGTCTCCCTCCACTACTGCACTCTGTTGGCATCAGTTCAGCTCTGAGTCTATATTAGTCCGTGATTTGTTTAGCCTTTGGATTTAAGAGAATGGAAGTACTACGTGAGCAGGAAACAGGACACTGAGCAGAAGCTGGGATCCGTCGCCTTTCCCTCCCAGCACTTCCAGTGTCATATATCAACAAGTCCGAGAGAAATCAACATTTCAGAACAATCAGGTCAAAAGTGATATTCTTAGCACCACTTAACATGATTTTGATCCACCGGAAACAACTCTCTGGCTGTCACACAGCCTCTTCTCCCGTCTCACCCCCGCATAATTCTTCCCATTCACATTCTGTCACCTCATTTGACTCCCAATTTAAGACCCCTCCTGAAGCAAAAACCAGTAGCCAAACTGGCATCTGTGTGCCCATCATGCCTGATCAAGATGCTCTTGACAAAAATACATAGGACTCTCCTACTTTCTCTATCTTTAAATCATTTCAGCAGCTTTTCTTCTGCCCTTGTTTCTTCTTTGCTTCCCACCTCCCCCAAAGAATCAACCAGCACCACCACCATCATCATCATCACCACCATCATCTTCATCACCATCATCATCTTCATCACCACCATCATTATCATCACCTCGGTTGGGGAAAGGGTGGAAGATAAAAGACACAAGAGACCTACATATCGACAAATCAAACTTCAGGATCTCTTGCATGTCCTACCTGAATTGCAATCTGGTGTTCAATCGTTTTGTACGCAGAGTAATGTGTGCTCCCGGACTGAAAATGGAGCTGTAGAAAGAAACCAAATCAAAGCGTTCTGCTTATGTCACAAACTACAAGAAAACATCTTAAGCAGTTTATGAATAGCAGACAAACCTTCCTAGATTGAACTGCAGCCCTGGCATTCAATCAAGACCTGTGTATTTTTATTTGTTGCTATAAATAAGATGCTCATAATAATCTAAGGTTTAAAAAAAAAAAAAGCACCTATTCAATAAGCAAAAGGGAGGGAGGTAGAGGGGGCCAGGAGTGAGGATCAATGACATGAAAAGGAAAGACGGACGCCCATTAAGACATAAAGGAAGCCAGTGTGCTGAGCAAGATGCTGCAGAAAAATTAACTGTGTGCTGCAAAAATCATCAGAATTGCGACACGTAGGCGAGAGGGAAAGACTGGGAGAGAGAGGATGTGAGAAGCCACAAGACTACAAAGGTACAAGCCCCCCCCTCCCCACCGCTCCCCCCGCCAGAGTTCGAATAACTGGGCTCTCACCCTCAAACACAATTCTATTTTGGGGAAAACAAATGTGGCAGGCAGAGAATTCAGGGGCCACCCGATGCTTTATACATTCTTTCGCAATGACTAAGCTATCAGTCCCAGGACAGCTCAGGACAGCTCTTGCAACCCACACGCACTCTAGGAATCCACACTTCCCCAAAGAGGGAGCCAACCAGTGCCCAAGAGCAACTGAGAGTTCTGAAGACCACCTATTTGGGGGCCCAAGGGTGAAGGTATGCCCCCAGTTCACCAAGACCCCCCCCCCAACAGCAGAAGGCTAAAGTCTCTCCTGGGCCTTTCCCCTTGAAGACCTATAGATCCCCCAACAAAGAAGTGGGTAGCCCCAAATAAAAAGGAATACCAAGATGGCTCTCCAAATTTTTCTTTTCCCCAATAATACTTGTTAATCTTGGGCTCCTACCAATTGGGAAAACAAACACCATTTGCTGACTGATTTTATAAACAACACAACAATCACCAAAAGGTCTCAACACTATCTGAAGATGCATTTTAACTGACCATAAACGAACAAATGATGAAGAACCACATGGTCCTATGAAATTGCTGTCCATCCCCCTCACAGCAATAGGCAGATCAGTTGCATTTCCAAACACAGAACTGTATTACAAGAGCAAACTACTGCTATTACCACCACTGTACTGTTACTATTACCAGAACCTTCCCGTAAGGCCTAAGTGAGTTTTACCTAGCCTAAGTGAGTTTTAGACCCTATTATTTCGTATCTTGCTCCCTGTAAGAAAAATTATTCATTTTATACAGGTTTTTATTTGGGGGGGGGGGGGAGAAATTCACATAAGAACTTCTGAACCAAGTCAAACTAAACATAGCTCAGTAGTAATAAAATTTTTAAAATAGCCTAAATCCATACTGCTCATGGGATAAAGCAGTACTGTTCCCAGTTGGGGATACAATGGGTTCTGAGACCATTATGTCTTTTCCAAATGAACAAATAAAAAAACACTGCTTGTATAGATATATTAGGAGTCTGCCTGGTCTCAAATGTAATAGTAATCAAAGTTAAAAGGGAGCATAATAGAGGTGGGGGGGGAATACATATATACACACATATACATATTCCTTTATCTGTCAAGGCAGAGTAATGAATCAGACTCCCAAAAACAAAAGATAAAGGCTGAGCCACGAGATAAGCCCCTCCCACGCACAGAGCTGCCCCCCCCACCCCCCAACACGCACACTCGGGAGCTGTTCATCCAAAGTGAGTCCCTGCAGAAGACAGATGAACTTGCCCCCTCGGCCCCCCTCCACCATCCTTTTTGTGAAAACTGCCAGTCAGTAAGCGGAGATCGGGCTAATTACTGTGACAATTCTGCATCGTGTTAAAACAACTTTTGTGCGCGGGACAGGTTCCTCTGCGAGTTTGGAATTCTTGGCTGAGAGCAGCCCTGGTCGAGCGGAGCGGGGGACTCTCCCGCTCAGGAGAGAAGGCAACGCTGAACGCTCATCCTCCTTCTCAGCAGGTTTTACTCTTCCCTTTTCCAACTGCCTGATGCAGAGCTTAATGGAAACTTGTCCAAGCTTTTCTTCCCACAAACCCTGTGGAGCCCTAAGGCGATCTTGCACTCAGGGTAACCACAGAAATCTTCTATCATCAATTAAAAGTGAATGGACACCTGATAACTAAGTAGACATCGTGCAAACAAAATTTCATACAATCATGACCTTCTGAACAAATTAGTGCAACTGTGGCTAACCCAAATTCAATTTTCACTTGTCCGGTTCCATACTTAATCCTTGTGTTCAACACCAACCCAAACAACACAACTCCAAAGAGAAAGCTACTAATACAATTAAGACAATAAAAACGCAGCTGCAAGATTCTTAAGAATCTGATTGTTACTGTTCAGTTGCTGAGTTGTATCCAACTCTTTGGGGACCCCACAAACTGTAGCCCGCCAGGCTCCTCTGTCCATGGGATTCTCCAGGCAAGAATACCGGAGCAGGTTGCCATTTCCTTCTCCAGGGGATCTCCCCAACCCAGGGATCGAACCGAGGTCTCCCGCACTGGCAGGCAGATTCTTTACCACTGAGTCACCAGGAAAGCCCTAAGAATCTGGCAGGACAAAGCTAATCTCACCTTCACACACACCAATCTAACATCCCCAAGCAATGTAACTTCACTCCTCAGGTGTCCAGGCACATTGAATAATGTTGACCAGCTCCTAAATCTGAAAATAATGTTGACCAGCTCCTAAATCCATGCAGCACAAGCTCCAATCAGATCTTCACTCCTAACCAGAACCCACTGTGTTGGAGAGATTCTGAGCTAAACTTCCCCCAGCAGCAGCGAGGAAGACTTAAAATTTTCTCATTTCTCCGTTGCATTTCCACCCCCTCTTTTCCCAAATACTCTCTTCTAAAACACACCCTTTAAACGGCTTTTTCCTTCCCTGTAAAACACAGGGATGCCTTGTTCATTATAGTGTAGCTTTTTAAGATGAAGATAAAATACAAGGACCCAGTAAAAACTTGGCATTCTAAGATGGAACAATAATTTATTTATATCTCCGTATAAAGCTAGTAGAAAGAACAAGAGAAGGTTGGCCCTCTGTGCTTTTGTTTGTTTGGGGAAGATATGGGGAGGCTGAGAGATCTTAGCTGGCGAATTAAGGCTTATCTGATTTAAGAACCACGTTCCCCTTGCATGGACTCTTGGGGCCCCCTGCTCCGGTCACCTGCAGCGCTGTCCATCAACAGGCCATAATGTGGTGCCTACCCACCACCCGTAGCCCCCATCCCGCCACCTCCTAAAGCAACACCAAATGAGAACTCCAAGGTACTTCTCATACTGTGCCTTCCTGTGAAACTTGCAACAAAATAAACCTTCCCTTCCTGTGTGTGTGTTCACAGTGGCCAAGCCCAACCACCCATTCTGACACTCCCAGATGACCCAGCCATCTCTCCCCCAGAGAGAGGCATGGAGAAGCACTGGTGCTCTGCACAGTCCGGCACACATTCTCCAGCAAAGCAAAATCCAGTATTTCACAACCCACCACCTCCCTTATCAAGAAATCCTATCTTGATTTCTCTCGTCTCATTTCTAATTACTACTGGCCCTAAATTCACTGTTTCCCATACAAGACATCAGAGATACCCAGAGAGGAGAGAAAAGCGACACAGCCTTTTCAGCCAGAGATCTCATCCTTAAAGGCAACTCAAAAAACTTGAAACCCTCCACTGGGTTTTCCAACACTCAAGTGAACTTCCTGTAGGATGAAGATTAATTTCGTATGCCTACTCACTCCACTAAACTGGGAAGAGGGGGAGCATTTGCTTTATTTCCATTTTTATGAATCACCTAGCTTTCTATTAAAAAAGAAGAAATCCAGATTCATTTCCTAAAAAGTTCTGGTTTGGGGGAATTCTTGGTTCACCTTCCTCACCGCTGTAGCTACCACCAAGAGGCACTTGTAAGTTTAATTTACATGTTATTAGCATAAAAGACAAAATAGGGGCCTACGTATATCTAAGACCTTTTCTTAGGTCACCAGTCATTTTTCAGGACAGTGACAGCACCCCCAAGCCCTGCACTGGGAGCCTCTTACATTTAGTGGGAAATAAACTTCTGACGAGGCCTCTGGGTGTCTGTCTGCCTACCCCTTTAAAAAGTGCCAAGGGGGCTTCTAACTTCTACAGGGAAGGCAAAACCAGCAGACTGGTAGGTATGGAGGCTTAAGCATTCCTGCAAAGATCCAGACACAGAATATCTGTACCCTCCTAAAGCAACAACTTAACAAAGGCAACCACTTTTCCCTCCCTGGCTTTCTCCTTTAGAAATTGTGCCACAACAAAACGCACGCCTTTAGACACAGAAACAATCTCTCCTACTGTCTCGACGTTCCATCAAATGTCTATTTACCCTCATTAATTTTTTCTTTTCTTTTCCTCAACCTGAAACCATCAGCTATGAGTCAGAGAACGATCATTAACTTTTACAGCTTTCATACACATCCACCTACTCACATTGGGGGAAAGTATTGACTTGCAACACTGCCTGAGACCAAAATTCTCTAAGAAAAAAAAAGGTGGGGAAAATCACTTTGAGAAAGTTTTATCTATAGGTCCACGGTGGGGGGGGTGGGGGGGGAGTGGGGAGCTACATTGTTTTTTTTTTCCATTTTGTGGTGCAGTCACTGCAAAAAGTTACAGTTGAACTTGGTTATGGTGATGGGCATTTCTGGATTTGTTTCTTAAGGGAAAATTAGATGATTTTCTTTAAACATCAAACCATAATTACAGTTCTTAAACTGTTTAGGGGAGAGAAGAATAAAGTGAAGCAAGTTTCCTGCTCTTGTCCAAAACACATTTCCAGCATATAAAAACACGTGGGCTAAAGTGCTGAGACATGTTCCTAACACAGCATTTTTCATTAAAAGTTGCTACACTAACACTCTTAAAATAATGCCCCACCATTACTCCCCTTAGCAGTCACAGCGCTGCAACTCATAACGAATTAATTTGCATTAATGTGG